CATTTATTTTTACAAGTGTATTCATATTTAAACAACGAAAATCATGTTTAAAAGCCAGGGTTATGGCTCTTAACACTGGTAATATTTTCTCAAGAACGATAAAACGAATAAATCTACAGTGTTTTTTATAGAAAACTAGAACAGTGTCTCTGGGTTCAGAGTGGGACTGAAGGGGACAGTTAGTAGAGCTCCGATTTTTAGGGCCTAAAGAGCTCTGCCTCTGCCTAAAAGGAGAATGACATGAGGAATAGAAAAAACAAAAAAGTAAATACAAACATCTGGGCCATTTAGTCTTCGTCTTCCTTCAGTCTACATTATTTTCTTTCTAGCCCTCTTCTGACTTCTGTCTGCTCTCTGCTTTACTCTAAGTAGATTTTTCTTCCATCTGTTCAACTGTTCTTCTCATCAGTGTTCCAGTTTTCCAATAAGGATCATTACAGTCCAACAAGTGGTGCAATGTTATAATCATCTTTGTTTAACAGCAGCGCAAAATACTACCATAATAGCTGTTACTGCCCACAACATGTTCACACGCTTTCCGACCATAACAACAGTCTATATGCAGCATTTCCCCCCTCTTTCATGAAACGGTAAAATAGGGGACATTTCCAGGGACAGGTTAAGCCTGGGACAGGTGGTCCAAAATGGTGACTGTCCCCGGAAATTGGGGACGTCTGGTCACTCCGTCCTTGAACAATCGCAATGCTCTGCTAATAACTATGGCAATGCTAGCTGGACTGTTCAGCCGTCCAGCCATGCTGTCTCTGGAGCTAAGAAACCAAAGTGATAGAGGTGACAGTCTGCCGCTGCTTGCTCAGGAAGAGAGTTCAGTGGCACAGCGGTACATCAGAGAAACCTGTCGGGGAAAAAAAGAGTGCTGAAGGCTACGGCTGGCTTTGGCTAGTTAAATATACTAAGTACGCAAGATTGAAAGAGGACAGCTGAAAAATGGATAAGTCCACCAGGCAAACAGAGTCCTGAATGCGAAGGAAAGGGGCTGCGGCTGGTTGTGAGGAGGACAGATGTACATCAAAAGCCCGTCATGGAGACAGAACAGGAAGAAGTNCAGAGTCCTGAATGCGAAGGAAAGGGGCTGCGGCTGGTTGTGAGGAGGACAGATGTACATCAAAAGCCCGTCATGGAGACAGAACAGGAAGAAGTGAGAGCTGGCAGAGCCTAGAAGCTAGAGACTAACAGCTGGAAGTGAAAGAAGGACAATTGAGGATCAGGAGAGCGCACCAGGCAGAAAGTAGGATGATGAAACAGTCCTTCTTTAAAAGCCACCTACAAACCTCTTATCAGCATATCTTATTTCATCCTTTCTCAAAAATTTTTTTTCAGTCATCCATTTTGCTCATGGTACTTTCTCATTCCCTCATTTTATAGTTAATAATAAAATCTTAATGTTTGTTAGACAACAGTATTAAAGGATTTATGAATTTGATGCTTAAATTGGTGATCAACAGATACTGATTTTTATGATCGATCAGACTAGCATGTGTTGTTCGGCTGCGATTACTATAGAATATCTTGGTGGCGCTACCCAGTTGACATTAGCACAGGGCTAATGTTTGCAGTGGTCATACTGGATCTAAATGTTGGTTGCACTCTATTTTACAACAGCCAAGGAAAGCGGCTCAGCCAATCACATTTAAGAATGGGAAACACCCATTATATATTTCGTAATATATGGATAATTTATAGAGTGACCATATCTCATAAAATCGAATGTGGGACAAATATAATCTATATGAAGGACAGATGTGGCTTTTTCAACATTACATTTCTTATGTGACTTACTTTTATAGTGTTGCTTTACATCATGTACCTGTTTTATCAAATTTTAAAAATTACTTCGGCAAACTTCAGAAAAGCTCACTGAGAAACACCTATTATTGCCTTGCCAAGTTTTAAATAGTTCATCAATCTTTTTTGTGGCAGCTGTTTTTGTTTCTTTGACCAAAGTCTCCATCATTGTAGATTATAGGGTATGTAGGGTAGGCACTGGTGCAGGTCTTATGACAACAACTGTGGCTCTGCCCTCTTCCCATTTAGTAAAGGCACCTGGAAATATATATATTTGATTTTCTTTTGATCATTTGACGCAGTCAAAAGCGGTATACTGCTTTGGTTTGTGGGATAGCTTGAAAGTGAAAATTACTTAACTATCCCAGATAAATCAGGACATCTGGTCATCCCCGTTATTTCAGAAATTGTCTGTAATATTTCACCATGTCTTCATCACCTAAAAGTCAGTGTCTTGACCATGATATCAACCTTTGACTGACTACACAAGAATTGACAGCTTAGGATTTTGGACATTATTTGTACCAAGGGCACCAAGGAGAGGACACAAAACAGGTTAGCCAAACATGTTGTAGTTTTATAGATTAAGGTAGAACATACAGCTGTGATGAAAGCAACTTGTGCAAAAATCCAACTTTTGATGCAAAATAATGCGAATAATAAACAATATAAAAACTGTTAAAAAAAAGTTTGGATTAAAAAATGGTGTATGCTCATTGGAATAGATACTTCTCAGTCAACTGACTACCAAAGTCAATCAAGATCCTTGTTAAAGACCTTTATGTAAATCTTTAAAAATCATTTAACAAATGTAGGAACTAAGGTGCCACTTAATTATTGTGTAAAAAGTTGTAAAGGTTATAATATAAGACTAGGAAAGTTGCTTACTTTAGAAGGAAAATACCCAGTTAAGTCTATCTTTATTGAGTACAAGCAAGCAAAAACACATTCTAACCCTCTTCGAGGATCAAAGTAAACAGCTTTCTTTAGTGTTCATCTTTTTATTGTTTGCAAAATACCAACAGAAGTTTGGCGTCAGTACTAACAGGTTTCAGGTTTCATCTGCTTAAAGGAGGTTGATGCTGGTATAAAAAGTTCAAGTTGAAAATAGCATTTGGAGTGAAAGTGAACATTTGTCTATACCAGAGGGATTTTTGGTCTAAGACTTGGAGATCTTACAGGACTCTGAAAATGACTCTCCAAAGGTTGTTTGGGTACTTAGGGGTGATCATTTTCCTCTGTAATGGTAAGAGTTAATGGTTAATTTTTCATTTGTAAACTTGCATGATTGTTAATGGCGCTGAACACATTCATTTTAACATGATGGAAAAATATAATGGACTTAAATGTTTTTTTTTTATGGATTGCATTTTGGTTAAGAATAAGAAATTATATGCTTTTGCAATTTCTCAAATATGTATGCAATTTATTACAAAATAATTTTAACTGGTTGACTTATCATTATGAATATGTACAAGTATTGTAGCCTACATTCCCATTTTATTTAATCAATAATAACACTCTTTTTTTTTTTTTTACTTGTACTGTATAAGTTGAGATATAATTCACCAAAACAAATAGATCCAAAAGAAGCCAAAAAGAAAATGTGACTGACGGATTTAAGTTCTAACTACAGTAATCTGACAATTTTACCAAAATGTTTCCTCAGTCTGAAGGTAGCATTAACTTTTGGAAATGGCCAGCTAGTTAATAAACAGATTCAGCAGTGATTTAAAGATCAAAAGCAAAACCAATATTGGAAAAGCCTGTGCTCAAAAACTAAGTAGATGCCACTTTACTGGAATTTAGAAACAGGCTGATAATGGTAATCAGATTTACTCCTAAATCACTACAAAAGCAGATCTAACCACTTATAGCATGCTTTGTAAGTATAATGAACTGAGGCAAACACATTCAATACAATGCCAAGAGCTAAGGACATCAGCATTGACTTTAGACAGGCAACTGTTTCTGGGCTTGGATAGTTACACTGTTGTGAAAAATTACGTCTCCTCTTAAGGTGGGTATCAAGATAATAGATATAATAGCAAGATAATACTAATGAATTCTGTCCCGCACTTCCCTTTCTGAGAAGGGAGTGTTAACTGACGAGATAATGCTACCTTGTGTGGTGTGTTAACATTAAACCAATCTGCTAGAAAGTATGTTGGGACCCCTCTGATGTCATATTCGGAAAATACGTCATGTTGGATTGTCTTTACCTGTGTGTGGCGTCTCACTGTGGACAACAGAGCATGAACATTCCATATCCACACCCTAGACCAGGGGTCTTCAATGTTTTCCAGGCCAAGGACTCCCAAACTGATGGAGCGGGGACCCCCTCATTATATATAATATATAAAATTTTGTTACATAAAACTGGTCCTGTAGTCACTCTATTACAGATGGAGTCATGTAACGAAAGTAATTTCTCCCTGAGATTATTAAGGTATTTGGGATTCTGATTTCTTGTTGACAGGTGCCCAGCTTGAAAGAGCTCCGGTGTATTGCTGAATGTGTGTGTTGATGACTTTATCTTTTTTGTTTTTCATCTTTTTCGTTTACTACAGTGTGTTGAATTCATGTTAATGTGTATTTAATGACATTTCAATTAGTGGAAAAAATTGCTGGGGGGATATTAAAAAAAAGTCTAATCTACCAAAACCTTCGCAACCCCCATGCAGTACCTCTCTGTACCCCCTAGGGGTCACAGATCCCTGTTGAAGATCTCCGCCCTAGACTGTTCTCTCTCTATGAGCAGTCCCATTGAGCACTCCTGAGCTGAGCCAGAGTTGTGCATATTGCATTTGTTCAAACCTGTATGCATCCGCATGCATTGACATTAGAACCAGGACCCAATCCCTCTTTCCTGCAGTCTTTTCTGTTCTCGAGTATAAAATCCCATCTGGACTTGTGAGTATTAGAGTGCGGCCTGGCCCGTGATTACAATGGATACACATAGCTGCTGATTTTCATTTAAAGCTTTTAGTCGCAAAGTGCTTTATGCTTGTAGTTTCAGCAAATTACTGTCTTAACAACAGAGGCATTTAAGTGCTAGTGAGCAACAGGATAACTCTGTTCTAACGGATGACTAGCAGTAAAAAAGACAAAGGCCAAAATGCCTTTTCTTTTTTCCACAAAATCAAACACACTCATACCTGTATTTATGCAATTCATTAACCAAAACAAAACCTCTTTTAAAACAACTCTTCAATTTTACATTGAATAAAAGAAAGCCAGTTTAAGAATAAAATTCACAACATGGATTGAGCAACACAACTCTTTCAGAAGCATTAACTCAGGCCAAAAATACCTCAACGATCAAATTAACTTATTCCAATCTTTTCCATTTATTTTATAAAATGTGCTGAGGTAGGTTGATGAAAAATTATTTAATACACAGTCAGTGGCTTTGTTGAAATGCTTTAACTTTGTTTCTACTTTGCTTAATTCTAGCTGGCGAAAAATCTCATTCACTAGTGACACTTGATGCCACAAAGGGAAGCATATTACACACTATTAGTACCCATAAAAAAATACAGGTTTCCTTTTGACCTGTAGCTATTAGTACCTGCCCTATGCAAGACTCTTACAGTATATGTACACAATCTTGGCACTTAGCAAAAAAGTACAAATTATAAACATCAGTTGATGTATCTTGAGAGTTTGGTGAGTTCTCCAAAAAATAAAATGATCTCAAACAAAAAAATTATTGATCATATCATGACCTTCTACTTACATACTTATGAAGCAAAACAAAATGGTAAAGAAATAAAGGTTTGGGAAAGACCTTGTCAAAGTCCAGATTTAAATCTAATAATAAATATACCATAACAAGATTATTTAGGATAACACTCAAAATCCATTCAAACTGGCTGAAGTTAAAAAAGAAAAAAACAAGGAAACCTACAATGTTAGATTTGCAGTTATAGGTTCTTATTACCACCAAAGGTGATGCAACCAATAAAACATATTGTGATGCAATTTTTCATTAAAGTAGCCTCAGCTGGTTTAAATTTTCTGTTTTCCGCTAATGAATGAAATTCAGATAAAGAAAATACTTTTTCTTGCTTCTGCCATCTTAGTTCAATGTAGAAGTATATTTGATGATCTGGAACTTTTAATGTATAATGGTCTAAACACTACATCAAAGAAATATCTAAAAACTGTAATGAACAACTACGGTAAATGTTATGTTAAAGAATGAGAAAAATGTATTCACATTTGTAAAAAAGTTTTGAGCATGCTGTTTTACTGTGCCTTCCTGCAACTAAATGAATCAAAAGTACATTATATTATTCCTTCTCTTATTAACCATGTATGCTGGTGACTAACTTAACATGTCTGTCTCTTTGGCATTTCAGGTTGTCAATCACAGGGCCTGGGTAAGCAACATGTTTATGAAGTTTTCTTTTGTCTTTTGACATGCACTGAACAGGAAGATTGAAGAAATGTTTGGACAATTAAGATGTTCTTTTGTATTCGATAAAATAGAACAGTACATCAATTTTGTAAGTCAGGCCACTGCCAATGTTATATAAAGTTTGCTATTTGGTACAGAGAAAAGCAGAAATTCAAAGTAACATTTAAATACAGAATGATAATACAAAATATCAGTGATAAAATGACCACAATCTAATTATTGTTTACCAGACTACTATTTCTACAACTACCGTAAATCTTCTAATATAAGACGGGAGCCTCCATTTCACTCAGGTGCATCTTGGTCCAGGCCAAATATTGGAAGGAGGCCAGAATTAGAGACAGGCCTCTATTGCTATTTGAGCAAAACAGACTACCAGTGGAATGAATAAAAAATAGATTTTGTGTCTATTTGAACCTATAAAATACTAGGTTAATTAATTGAAAAAGTACAGTTACCATAACAATATACAGAACATTATCAACTAATACTGGTAATTCAGACATCTTCAAGCAGCCTACAGGCAAATTTTCTGCACAGCAATATGGAGAATAAAAAAAACCTACACAGAATGGAATCTTTGCCAAACTGACTTGCGAAAACAAAGTTTTTAAAAAATGGGACAAAAACTGTTTTGCCATCAGAGCGACATTTTATTTGTTTTAGGTTAGTGGAAGTAGGCTACAGGTATCATATATCTCAAGGGGAATTCAGAGCAATGAAGACCTACTACATTGTGACATTTTAACGCTTTTCACCACAAAGCAAACATAGTGCATTGTAAACATTTTCCATGGTTGTAATTATTCATAACAAAAGGCATCTTACAGATTTAATCACCTTGCCGCTAACTCAAATTGTCTTGTTTAGTTTGAAGTAAAAAAAAAATAAATAAAAAATTCTCCAATTCTGTTTAATCATCGACAATTTCCCCCTCCTCTTCATCTCTCCCCATAATCTCCTCATCACTTGCAGATCAAGACGATCTCTTATGTAATCATGGGACTTCCCATGCTCATGGCTTGGATTCGTTAGCAAACATTGCCCCTCTGTGGTACTTGTATGTTACTATCACAAGTTTTTGAGGACTTCCCAGAAACATAATTGGTTCTAATTAAAGCCCCGAACTGTATCTCCTCCGACAGCGAGACCGGCCATTGTTAGAGCCCCTAATGGAATACAGACCAATATTAGAGGATTTACGGTATGTTGATCACTGAACAAGTAGTATAAATCACAGTAGAACACCAGAGCTATCAACATAGGAAAATCACCCATAGAAATGTCAATACAAATAAATCTAAATACTAAAGCTGAGTTATATCAAACTAAGATCATTGATAGGTGTGAGCTGTTCTTCCACATTAACTCATTCTGGCCTTTTCTCATTCTCTGCTGCTAGTTTGTGGTAATGTAGCGGCAAAGGGGTCCAGAATCATTGGGGGTCAAGATGCCCAGCCAGGAGCCTGGCCCTGGCAGGTATATTTCACTACAAATGACTCTTCCTGTGGAGGGTCGCTGATTAATGATCAATGGGTGCTGACAGCTGCTCACTGCATAAACAGGTGAGAGGTTTTTAGTGAGTTGGTTCATTGGTTTCATGGTTACCAGACTTTGTTATTTGGTCAGAGTAATAAAAACAACACTGTAAAAGAAAAATCCATTTGTCAAAAATGGTGGTAGTTATTTTTTTATTTAATCAAAATTAAGTTAACCAAAACAAAAAGTCAACAGCATTTAAAACCTTTGTTTCCAGAGAATCACAAGAAAACCATTATTCCGTGAGTTTTTTAGTGCCAGTTATTGGTACACTGCACAATGTGGATTAAGTAATGAAGAAATAGGTCCCAAACATAGCTGAAACTTGGACACAATCAAATATTAATTTGACCTCTGATCTAAACTGTACTGTATATGCAGTTTAATCTTAAATGTAGTGTTTTTATGGCCAATTTAGTTTTAGACTATTAAATGTGCTGTCTTTACTTTATTATCTTTTATTCATTAAATCACAAAGTACATATGTAATTTATCATAGGTTTCATTACTTGTTGAAACTAGGTTAGTACATAAAACAGTAATCTTTCTCTTATCTGTTGATTCCTATTAATTAATTTTTTTGGTTCTTTTTTCCTTAAAGAGATGATCTTTACCACACAGATGTCCATCTTGGCGTTACACAGCTAGATGTTTCTAGCCCAAATAAATTGACTCGAAAACTCTCTGAAATCATCTGCCATCCTGATTACCACAGTTTTACATCTGAAAACGACATCTGTCTCTTGAAGCTTTCGGCTCCTATTAACTTTACTAACTACATACAGCCAGTCTGCCTAGCTTCTGAAAACAGCACTTTCCATGATGGGGTTACTAGCTTGGTAACAGGTTTTGGTGTCACTGGTAAGTTCCAAAATATTTGTTTTCTCTGACAATACTGCTTGTTGATTCAGTCTAAACCTCTAATCCCTGTTACTAGATTCTGGCCACACTTCTACTCTGCAGGAAGTAGAGGTACCGATAGTGGGAAACAACAGATGCACATGCTACTACCAGGACCTTTTCAATATGTATCTTCTTTTCTTTGAAGACCTGGACACAAATAATTACTTGTGTGCTGGACTTCAACAAGGTGGAAAGGACTCTTGTCAGGTGACTACCACTTTTTTTAATGTAATGTCTCTTTAACGCCCGGTGGAATAAATTTAACCATAAAAACACATCGAGAATGGTATGTCTGTCATTTGAACAACCTAACTAATCAACCTCACTAATCAAAGAAAGAAAAGTATTTGTTTGTCATTTTGATTCTTAACAGGTTGACTGCAGCACAATTTCAAAGAGGAAACAAAGAAAAAATATCTCACATATTTGCAGATAAATGCGGCCAAAATGAGTTTCCTTCGCCTACATGTTATAAATGCTGGCGTAGCATAAATGATAAATTATGAACAGTTTAGTTTGTGCCTTCAAGTCGTTTTGCCCATAGGAAGACGTTATATAACCAGAGTGCGAAATACGGGGTTAACCCATGAGACCCCCTGAAAGCCTCAAAAACAAAATTTAAAGGGGGTCTTAAATTGTGTCAAAAAAATTAAAAATAAAATATTCTTTTGTCACTAATGGACACTAAAATGTTTTTAGGCTCAACATGTCCAGTATTAAAATTCAAAACCTTTATTCACAAATATGTTCTGTTTTTTGCCAAGTGGAGCCAGCCAATCCTGCTCGCATATGCAAATTAGCCATGTGCTTTTCTGCAGTTAATAACACGGACAACGCGGAACAGATTGCGAGAAGACAGCAGGTCTTCACTCCGGTTTGTGGACCTCAACCAGAGCCGGCCCGAGCCTCTTGGGGGCCCTAAGCAGAATTTGATTTGGGCCCCCCCCTCCCACAATGCAGAATCACCTATACTAGAACATTACTGACACAAATGTCATACTATTATGTTATAGTGAATATAAAAAATGAATACACTATGGTAATGTATTAATACAAAATAAATAAACAATACTTACTGTCATGTTGGGTTCAAGGCGTCTAACCCACATGCAGAAACACTCGTGAGACAGGGAAAAAGTTCAAAGGTTTATTTACAAAATAGTACAATGAGTATGAACTGGTTCTTGGCTCGGCAGACAGGTCATGAGGGGAACACCACTGAGGAGGACAGAGGAGTTAGTGTTGATCCAGGTAAACTGCAGGTTTTCAGATGTTGGAGTAAATACCTGCTCAAAGGTGGAGCGGAGCTGCAGGGGGGGAACCTGGAGGGTCCAGAGGCTAGTCGGCAGGCAGAGGACTGAGG